TATAGTGGCACATGCCTTTAATCCCAGCACTTGGGAGGCAAAGGCAGGTGGATCGCTGTGAATTAAAGACCAGCCTGGTCTACAGAGCAAGTTGCAGGATAGCCAAGACTACACAGAGAAACCTTGTCTTGAAACAAACAAACAACCAACACAAAACTACACTACAAAATTAAAAACAGATGGAAGCAATATAAGCTATTGGCCTTCCAATCTCTCTTACACCAAACAGTAAACTTGTTTTGAAGACAGTAATGGGTATTTAGTATTCTAAACAACCTCGCCATTAGTTGATAATCTGTGCTTATAAAAAGGTATTTATGGGTGTGCCTTAGCAGGTAAAAGTAATGACTGCTGTGCAAGTCTCTTGACCTAGTTCCACACTTGGAATCTACATTAAAAAAAAGCCAGACAGGGTAGCACACAGCTGAAAAGCCCAGCTCTCCTACAGGGGCATGAAGAGACAAGAAAGTCCACAGGCAAGCTAGCCTGAGTACACAGTGCAGTAGTGGAAAGCAGACAATGCCTCAGCAAGACTCCACACATCCACACACAATAACAATCATCTAAAAGTATTTAATGAAAAACAACATGTCTATACTACATATGGCTTTATAAGTAAACCAAAATGTCAGGTTAACAGTGATTGGATGCTTCTTGGCTGTTCCTTTAGTCTTAGGCCTCAGTGTAATCTGCAGAATAAAGTACAAGTTCTAACCAAACAAGTTCTAACCAATAACAGGAACTCCCAACTGGCTAACCTGGACTAGCACTGTGTCACAGTTCTAAAACTGTGTGTCCTAGAGAGCCACACATTGACTTGGCAAGCAGCTTTCGATCAACTACAGCCTAACTGCAAACTAAACAGTATGCTTATATTCTTCCCTCCATGCTGTGTGAGAGCCATCAATGCTGCAAGCCTTAGCAGGACACAGAAGAGAACCAGAGAAACACCATTTACCTCCTGCATTATCAGCGAACATTAATCTTCTAAACCAGGCTACTCTTCTGCCCAATGCTCTCCTCTTTGTTTCTTTTACTAAATCTGTCATCCTTGGGCACCAATGCAACCAACAACACAACCAGTCAAATAAAGAGACTATGCTGTGCACGTTAATCATCCAGCTTAATAATAAAAATGGTTCCATTATTTTAATTTATTGTTACTTGAACAGCGCTTTTTTCTTTTTGGCTAATGAAAATAATCTTAATCTTCGGAAAGTAAAAATGTTTTTGTATGAAAGGTAGAGCACGCTTTACCAAAACTTATGCTATAGACTATTTGTTATAAAAACAAAACAGCTTAAGGATTCTTTTTGGCAAAAGGTTAAGTAGATAAAGACCCAAATAGCCTAAAAAGGTTGCTATTATACTGAATCTAAAGTTAAAATGGATAAAGGGAAAATCTCAATATGTAAGGGCATTTATATTTTCAGCTTTTAATACTGCTTCTACATCAATTTTCATATTAATGATACTCTATAAATGTATATACTAATAAAAACCTAGAGTTAGCTTCAGAAATATCTGCAAGGAAATACTAAATATACCAGTACTTCAGGGACAAGTCTGTCCTTGTCCCCAGGTATTCTTTTGCAGTGTTCCTGTTTCTGAGATCAATACGTTTTTAAGTAAACAAACACCTTGGTACTTTTCTCATGAACAGGTTTTAATTCTGAAGCCCCGGTACAATCCCTTTCCCCCAAAAAGCTCCTAAAGCTAACTGTACTGCATAGTTTCAGACAGACTAAATTTAGCCAGTTCTGTTCGTCAGAGGAATGCTGTGTGTCAGCTACATCAAAGCCCAAGGGCAGCCTGATAAACACTGAATACAGGTCACGTAGCTCTGTAGCTAACAAACTCGCAGAGAGCTTGTACTCAGGGGCATTCAAAGCAGTTTTGTCATCAACAATCTAGTATCCCCTGAGCCTCCATGTCGTTTCAGTTGCTAAGCAACTCTGGTGTTAATGTCTTCGAGGAGAAAACTTACCAGGCATCTGGCCGTTCATCTGGTTCTGCATGTGTGGGGCAGGAGGGCCCCCACCCACCATTCCATCTGAAGGCATGTTGTGAGAGCGGGGAGGGGGCGGGGGTCCGCTCTGACTCATCCCTCCAGGACCCATAGGCATATTCTGTGTGGGCGGCTGAAAGAAGACAGCTTAGTCAAACAAGAGAAACAGCAGACTCGTGGATGAAAGATTCACATGGAAGGGCTGCTGTCTATATTACTAAACTGGATGAAAACAAAACAGCAAATGCATTTCAATGCCTTCTGATGCATTTAATGATGGATTTATTAATATCACATTTAATATTACTCATTACATCAGGTGCCTCGGAAAGTAACTACAGTTAAAGTGTGTTCTAACCTATAATCAGATTTTTCATTTATTGATGACCTCTAATGTGTCCTTTCATTATGAACATGTCTGTTTACTAATGGTAGACTTTACCAGAAAAGGAGGTAACAACAGCACAATACATAAAAGGAGCAAGAAGTCTCAAAGAAGGATGTCTTTTACATCTAGAGGGTGAGTACCGGCAGTGGAAGAGCGCTTAACAACTCAGCGTATTTCTGTGTCCCTCCCTGGTTGTTTGGGAATGTTACTGATGGCCTGGAAGGGCACACAGACAGTGGCCTCTAAAGGATGCCTTTGGCAAACTTCCTAATAAAAACCTGAAAAAAACTACTCACTAAATCTGAGTTCACGAAAGAATGAAAGGAATCACACACACACACACACACACACACACACACACACACACACATGGTCTTCAACACCTGTCCCCCTTCTTTGGTGGAAAAGGTAAATGGTTGGTTAGTTTTTCCCCAAACTCTCATTTTCGGTCTGCAGATTAGGAAGACGCACATACAGGCGATACCCTCCACACATCTCCTGCCTTCTTTCCTGACCTTCAGCTGATGTCCACTTCAGCAACTCCTCACATTAGTCACCTCTAATAAGTTACTATGTAGCTTTCCAGATGTGAACACAGCAGCACTTGGAAGACATTGTAAACACTCTTTGTTAATGAAAGACTAACAGTTGCATATATATTGGTTCTTTGTTTTTTGTTTTTTGTTTGTAGACCAGGCTGGCCTCTAATTCACAAAGATCCACTTGCCTCTGCTGAATGCTGGGATTAAGGATGAACCACCACCTCCCAGCAGTATTGGTTATTTCTAATAGCACCATTTGGAAAAGAAAAAAAAAAAACCCACAACTTTTAATTTCTGTATTAATAAATCCAGAACACTAATCTTTAGTAAGAATTTTAAAAAATCTCATTTCAGGTCTTTGTCTAACTTCAATCTTTACACATTTAACAATTTAGTTCTTTCTTTCTTTTTTTTTTTTTTTTTTTTTTTTAAGTCACACAGCTTGGTTCTAATTATCTACATCACCTCCAAATCTGACTAACTCTTTGTAATTCAATCTATAACACTTCCTGGCTCACTACTACTATTACAGGGCATAACAAACAAACACTCTTGATAACAAGTCATAAAGTTCTGGGAAACAAAAGGAAGCTGGCAGAGGAGGAACTGAAGGCTATCCCTTCAGAAAGAGGGTCAAATGTAAGACCACACAATCCCTCAGCCTTTTCCTCTAGCGTACTGTGTGCAGGAAGAGCCCCGGGAGACAGCCATAGTTTTTCTTCGGAATGCTTGACAAGCAGAAAAAAAGAAAGTTTAAAAGAACCACATGCAGTGACAAGAGTGAAGCAGATACTGCAAGTCAACAACTGCTCGGGTGTGGGCAACCAAGTCAGACGGGCCTTCCTGGAAGACAAGAGAGGACACAGGCGCTTCTTAGACTAAAGGCAATCCCAAAGACTGGCCTTCACAAGTGGAGCTTGAGCCTCACTAAACTGTATTTCTTTTTCTTTTCTTTTCTTTCTTTCTTTTTGTTTGTTTGTTTTTGTTTTTCGAGACGGGGTTTCTCTGTGTAGCTTTGGAACCTGTCCTGGCAATCAATCTGTAGACCAGGCTGGCCTCTGCTTCCCAAGTGGTGGGACTAAAGGCGTGCGCCACCAACGCCTGGCCCTATCTCTGGTATTTCAATATTGAAGGCAAATGACGCCCTTGGAAGAAAATAACATGGAAGTGTACTGCCGTAACTGTTCAGCCACAAACCTGACATTGTGTTAAAAATCACGGGACAAATATAAAACACAGGAGTAAACATCCAACACAAGTAACAATATCAAAGTAAAAACTAGATGAAACAGCAAGCGCTAGAGGGGTACAAACTCTCACATATGCTGGTGGGGATGCTAAAAAAAAAAAAAAAAAAAAAAAAAAGTGCAAGCACCATGGCAAATGTCACCTCTCCAGTCAGCACTGAATTAGCAATTCCAACTCTTGTACATATTCTAGGGTTGAAAACACATATTCAGGCAAAACTTGCAGATAAAACATTCACCAAGGCATCCCTCAGAAGAATCCAAGTGAAATTACTGTACTACCTGTCAGCAGTGAATGCATAAAGGAAACAGTGGAGTGATATTTGGTCACACAGAAACACTGCAGTTATGATGCATGCTTAACACGATGAACCCGAAAGGCACTCAGTTAAAGAGGCTACACAAAAGACTCCGGTTTTTACAAATGCCCAGGACAGGCAAATGCAGACAGGGAGTAGATTAGTCAATGCCCAGTGAAGTATAGAAGGAAGAATTGAGATTTAGTGGCATCAGATATGGATTTTTTATTTTTTAAGATTCCTCTTATTTTGAAATTAAAGAAGATACCAGAAAAAGGAAAGATCTCCCACGCTCTTGGATAGGATTAACATAGCAAAAATGGCAATCTTGCCAAAAGCAATCTACAGATTCAATGCAATTCCTATCAAAATCCCAGTACAATTCTTCACAGACATTGAAAGAACAATTCTCAACTTTTTTTGGAAAAACAAGACCCAAGATAGCCAAAACAACTCTGTACAATAAAGGAACGTCCAGAGGCATCATCATCCCTGACTTAAAGCTCTATTATAGAGCTATAGCCCTGAAAACAACTTGGTAGTGGCACAAAAATAGACAAGCAGACCAAATGGAATCTAATTGAAAATCCTGATATTAACCCACACACCTACAAACACCTGATTTTGACAGAGAAGCTAAAATTATACAATGGAAAAAAGAAAGCATCTTTAACAAATGGTGCTGGCATAACTGGATGCTGGCATGTAGAAGACTGCAGATAGAGCCATATCTATCGCCATGCACAAAACTTAAGTCCAAATGGATCAAAGACTTCAACAGAAATCCAGTCACACTGAACCTCTTAGAAAAGAAGGTAGGTGGTACCCTCGAACAAATTGGTACAGGAGACCACTTCCTGAACATAACATCAGTAGCACAGACACTGAGATCAACAATTAATAAATGGGACCTCCTGAAACTGAGTAACTTCTGTAAAGCAAAGGACAGAGTCAACAAGACAAAACAGCAGCCTACAGAATGGGAAAAGAAATTCACCAACCCCACATCTGATCGAGGGCTGATCTCCAAAATATACAAAGAACTCAAGAAGCTAGTCACCAAAACACCAACTAATCCGATTAAAAAGTGGGGTACTGAACTAAATAGAGAATTCTCAATGGAGGAATCTAAAATGGCTGAAAGACACATACGAAAGTGCTCAACATCCTTAGCCATCAGGAAAATGCAAATCAAAACAACTCTGAGATACCATCTTACTCCTGTTGGAGAAAGGGGAACACTTCTCCACTGCTGGTGGGCCTGCCAACTTGTACAGCCACTTTGAAAATCAGTATGGCGACTCCTCAAAAATGGGAATCAGTCTACCACAAGATCCACCAATTCTACTCTTAGGCATATACCCAAAAGATGCACATTCATACAACAA